TTGGCCGCCAGCCTGGGAGCTCGAAGGTGCAGCTTTCCGTCCTCCGGTGGAAAAGGGGGGGCCAAGCGCGACCCGGCCCTCCCGGGGAAAGGCGTTCGCGCTGAGCTCCGCAGCAGCGCGGAGCCGACCGTCGGCGGGGCTGCAAGATCCGAGGGTCGCACGGGGGCCCATCCTCTCCCCCTTCGCTGAGCTCGCTGCCCAAATGCTCTCAACCGTCAGGTGGTCTTATTCGTGGGTGGCCGGCCGGAGGCAAAGACGGGGGGGAAAGGCGCGGGTTTCGAGAGCGCGGTCACCCTGTATGCCAAGCAGAAAGAGAGCGATCCTTGATGTGATTACCCCAGCCCCCAAGGGGTCTTTCCTGGGGTTCTCCGCAGCCTTCCTACGATGAAGCTTCCCCCCTCCCTCCCCCGAGCCACAGCCTCTCAGGGACTACGCGCTGAAGGTCCCCAATCAGGGCCGCCGAGGTCTGGGGAACAGCCCTGCCTGACCCTCACCTGAAATGCAGCTGGTGCCGCCCTCCCGCTTGCTTCTTTCTCGGGGTGTGCCAGGTAGCTGATAGCAGCTGTGCTCCGCTCTCGTTCGCCCTTTTCCTAATCTGGGGTTGCCGAGACTGACGGGGTGATCTAGGCCTCCCCGCAGAAGCCTCGTGGCATATCCTGTCCCCAAGAGGCCGCTCCCACAGCTGCAGCACAGGAGTGGGAACAGCCGGTCGGTCTCTCAGCCCCCCTCGCTGCTCTGTCACAGGTTGGGGCTTCAGCCCACGCGCGGCCCTCCACCCCGTAAGTGGAGAGCGAGGCCTTGGCTCCCGGGCTGGTGCGACGGCTGCAAAGCTCCTGGCCCGGGGGGCTTTGGCTTCTCCTAGAGGTTGCTTTCCAGAGGTCAGCTCCAGCCTGAGAACTAGGAGGAAGGCCGCAAGGGGGGAGGGTGCCTATCCCTAAGCCCGGGGTGGGCTCTCCTCCTCCTGGCTGTAGTTTCCTGTCTGTGCCACGGGGCTCAAACTGGGCCCCCCTCTTTGAAACGTGCCGGCCTGGAGCTGACGGAGGACCGTTCTCCCCGGATGGCTTCCGTGCGCAAGACAGCCACCTTGACGGCCTGCGGCACCTGGCTCGGAGGCAGCCTGAGCCACGGCTGGATCCCGCTCAGCCGGGTTTCCTGCAGCTGATCTTTGAGCCTAGAAGGCTCTGTACCTGCTGCTGCGGCGCTCAAAAAGGGGCTTCAGCCCTCGCCGGGAATTGGAGGAAACCATTTGTGCCGTTTGCTTAGATCTCTTTATTGGTGGGTGGGATGCCACATTCACAACCTGCTTGACAGCGCACCCAGGGTAGGGCAGATGGGCTCGGTGGGAGCCGCGAGGCCAGGGCAGGGGAGGGCAGGGCAGGGGAGGGGAGGTCGCCCACGGCCATGTTATCTCTTTGCACGCACAAAGTACAGGGCATTTGTTTTCGGATAGTACTTGACGTTCTGCTTCTTGTCCATCAAGCCGCCAAAGATGATCACCTCCCCCCGCCCCTGAACCACAGTGTGCAGGCTGGTCTCGGGCGGCCCCACCACAGCGCTGCCGTGGAACACTTTCCACTGGACCCGCCCGCGCACCTTGGCGTCCTTGACGTCCAGCACGTACATCTGCATGGGCTTGCAGTTGACGCTCTGATACAGGGGCTTGCCGACGTTCAGGGACTGCGGTGGATGGTGGCCCAGGCGACGAGCAATGGGTGGTAAGGCGTGCCCGTCTCCTTGAGCAGAGCTGGGTCGAGGGGCAGCGGGCACAGCTGCTTCAGCAGTGCTGGTAATGCTCTGGCTGCCTGGGGATCCGGGCGAGGACGCCACGGGAGGGCTTCGGACTGCCAAAGTGGGCAGGGCCTTTGAAGAGAGCGCTTGAACTGCCTCCAGACTCCGCCGCAGCGCACTAGGAGAAACTGCCCCCATCAAGGAGCTAGACATATGAGGCGGGGTGTGAATGCCGTTTGTGTGGTCTGGCGGGTTCCTGAGGCCTATCGTGCTGACCGTCCTGCTGTCTGCACCATCCAGCTGGCAAACAAGAGAAGGGGGTTTTGGCTCCCAGTTCAAATCTACAGCTGCCAGTCGCAGGTCCTTTTGATCAGGGAGAGAGCCCCGTCTTGGTGCCAAGGAAATGCCAACCTTCAGATCATAGCCTTCTGTCACAGAAGCTGTGCTTGGCGAGAGCAGCTGGAGCGGGCTGTCTGGAGAGGCCCCACCCACGGCTGTGGTGCCAGGAGAGAAGGCCTCGCTGCCGTTCAGCACTGGCGAGCTATCGTCTCTGGCCGGGGAAAGGCTTCCTTCTCGGGACCCGGAAGGTGTCTGCCTCTGCCCCCGGGGCCTAAGGGTGCCCCAGCGGCCGTTCACACAGGGAGCCTCGTCTGTAGTCCGAACGGGGGACTGAGAGCGGTATTCTCGTGTCTCAGGAAGCAGGGCTGGTGGAGTGGCGCTGATGGGAGAAGGGCGAGAGTTCAGACTAGGGCTGAGCGGTGCTCTCCCGCTGGGGGCTTGGCTGAAGACGACCACGCACTGCCCCACCTGGAAGAGAAGAAGCAACTAGCACGGGACGGCCGCAGGATCCCCCAGGCACTCCTGCTTATAGCTGGTCTCTGCCTAATGTGGGAAGGGGCGGACGGAGGAGAGGACCCCTCTGAATGGTGCAACAAACCTGTGTTCCAGCCCACAAGAAAACACTGCACCCCTGCTCAGGGAGAAGATTAGCCAATCGAGGGACTCACTTTTAGCTTATTCCATACATCACACCCTTAACAGAAGCTGTCCCCCTTTTTGGCTGATTACGAGGCGCGGAAGAGGAAGGAGAATTTCACCAAGGGTTCCTCTTGCTTTCCCTCCCATTCACCTTGCACGCTGGGTGACACCACAGCTCAGGGGCTCCTTGGTCTTCGTTCTCTACCTTCAGGGGCTGCCATGCCCAGGGACGGTCGGAGCTCATATGCAGTAGCCAAGCATCCTTGAAAAGCTGCAAAAGCAGGCAAACGCGTAAACATCCGGATAACGGGGCACTCTACAGTTTTTCTCTCAAGAGAAGGCTTTGCAATCCTCAAAGCTCACAGAATTTTTGGCCATTTGTCCATTGTGCTCCATCTTTTTGTCTTCTTCAGGAGAAGACAAGCAGTACAGCACAAGGGAGCTTCTGCGTCGTCTCCCCAAGAAGGAGACGTTGGCAGTGGGCAAATCAGACCTGGTAGCCAGAGGATGCCAGCAAGCCGTGTGTTGCCCGTGTGTAGACCAGAGCCTTTTCAAATGGAAGCAGTCCCAGACACAAAGGTCTTGAAAGGGCAGAAAAGAGACACCCTGGGGAAAAGGGAATCAATGGCCAGAGCAACCCTAGCTTGGTCTACTCACCGCATTTGGGCCCCCACAGCCCCCAAGGACCAGGATGGTTTCGTCATCTATGACAATCTGAAGAACAGGGAAAGAAATGCCCACAGACGTCAGCCACTGAGTCCAGAGAAGGCCTGGCTAGCACAGGCAGCGATGCAGGCCGCTGACAGGTGGGTCCTGGGGGTACTCATCCCCCCTCTTTCTAAGCCAAGCTTAATCTCCGAGGCCTATCGGGGGAAGACTAATCTGCTCCCTCTAACAGGGCAACGTTACCTCAAATGGTCTCGCGGTGAAGGCTCCGGGCTAGAGGGCAGGAGATGGTGAGTTCTAGTTCCGCCTGAGGCACGAAAGCCGGCTGGGTGCCTTTGGGCCAGTCTCTTTCTCTCAGCCCAACCCACCTCACAGGGTTGTTGTGGTGGGGAAAATTGGAGGAGGGAGTATTAGGTACGTTCACCTCCTTGAGTTGTTTATGAAAATAATAAAGGCGGATAAAAAAACCTTTAAAAAAAAGTGAACGGGAAACGCTCCACCGATCCCTACTCCATCTGGGACCTGCTTGGCTCTGGCTCTGAGAAGGCCCTTCTCTGGGTATAAATTTGTGTTGAACAGTCCCCGCTGTAATCCTCAGCGTCTGCTCAGGCCAGGAAAGGGTAGTTTCCTGCCTTCCTTTAGTTGGAGCTGCGGGAAACGCCAGGGCTTTATCTGGGAGCCTCAAGGCTTGCTCGTCTGTGAGGAGAACGGGGACACCTCACCGCCTGCACCATTTCTGGAAAGAGCTGCTACTGAAGCGGGGGGCCTTACCTGGGACTGGCCTCCTCGCGGGTGGGGCCCAGGCCCAGAGATGCTTGGCTTCGACCAGGTCCAGTGCTCCAGATCTAGCACCCAGACATCGCTGCTCCTGCGGGGAAGAGCAAGACGCAAGGGCCTCAGGGAGCTTTTTAGAGATCGTGGAAATTCTTTATTCATAAGAGGAGGAAAGCTGGCCAGGGAGGAGGAGAGAGACTTACATCTGCCGGGACCCGAGAGAGCCTCCAAAGACAATCATCCTGTCCTGTATGACGCAGGAGGAGTGGCCAGCCATGGGAGGGGGGCCGTGGGTTGTCACTACGCAGTTCCACCTGGAGGAGGACGACGCATGGAGCCGGCTCAAAAGGCATGCACGTACCTGCTACACACCTCTGTCCTCAGCAAAAACAAGGTGCTTGAACTGGAGGCTGAAAAACAGCCACGTGCTCTTACCAATTTTTGGAAGGCGAGTAGGTATGTATTTCATCAAAGAACCTCTCTGGCTGGTGCAGGGGGTAAGGGCTTGGCCGCGTCCAGCCGCCAAACAGCACCAGCAAGTCCTTATAGACGACGAGGGTCGCTCCAGCTTTCGGCGACGGGTAGGAACCTGCAACAGAAAAAGAGCATCTTTAGGCGGCGTCTGCAAAGGGATTCTGGGCACCGCCGTGGTGGTCTGATGTCACGGCAAACAAGGCCTGACGATCCAGCCGAGGGGCTTCCTCCCTCCCCTGCCGACTTGTCAGAAACAGCCAGCCAGCCTACTTGAGTTGGGCAACCTTTTGCCACAATCCATAGCTTGCCTTCGTTGGAGGTGGGTGTCCAATTCAAGCAGAGCCGCCTGCCCGCCCCTGCCTTTCCTAGGGGTGAGGTCTTTGTGCTCCTTGAGAGCTCTCCTGTGAAAATGGGGCTCTCTTCGAACCCAGAGCCGTTCCCTCCCTGCAGCAGAAAACTAGAAGGATGGTAGCCCTCCGTGTTTGCCGGAGAAGGGGCCAGTAAAGTGGCCACTTGCCATGATTCAAAGGGGAGCAACAGAGGCAAAGGCCACCTCAGAGACCCTCTGTTGGCAGGGGGGATACAGGGACCCTCCCTCCAGATAGAGCATGACCCAGGGTGGCCAGGGATTCCCAAGGGAAGGGGCCAATGATGCACAGGCTGGTTTCACTGGGAGAGAGCACACTAGGTCTCTTAAGTGAGAAGCAGCAGGTTGGCGGGGTGCTCTCGGCCACTGGGTTAAAAGCTGAACCCCAGCTATCCTCTTTCCAAATTTCAGGGATGCAGCGGAAGGAAGTTCCTGGCAAGGGGCGCAGGAGACCCACTGCTGGGTGGAGCGGAGAACTCAGAGCCAGAGGAACTGGGGCTCCGTCTGCCTTAAGTCCTGCGTCCAGAACCTCCCAAGACATCCAAGGACAGCAAGCCGGTGGCCGAGAATACACAGCCGGGGAAGTGGGGGTGGCGACAGTCCACCCCCCTCCAAATGCCCATGCGCCCTGCAGTGCAGTAAAGGTAAGTGCACAGGGGGAGCCTTGACTTGCTCCTTGAGAATTGGCACTCTTGACACATGCAACATGACCCCAAGGTCAGGCTGACAGGAGGAGGAGGACCCCACATCAAAATTGGGGGCAGGATTGTTTGTAGCCTGGGCCTACCAAATGAACCAGCCCAGACTTTTCAAAAATAGGTACCTAAAGTTAGACCCCTGAAGCCCCGGGTGTGGGGCGGGGGCTGGTTCAGCATATCCAGCAATTCCCAGGAGAAAGTAACTGAATTCCGTAGGAGGCGAATAAGGCAAGAACAGGGCATGAACAAAAATAACCACCCCTGCCTGCTGGAAACACTGTCGAACGCTCAGAAAACAGAACCTAAATACCAGGGACTACAAGCCTGTGTGAACAAGCCCGTCACTCTGGAAAAGCAAGAGAACCACAGCAACGAGACCAGCCTGCCCCTGGCCCAAGGGAGAAGACTGGAGGCACAGAGGGCCTTCCAGGCAGCGCCAAGGCCCGCTTCTCTGTGGGAGGAAGATGTCGGCTCCTTTTCTCCCCAGGGTCCCTGCAGGTTCAAGCTTCTATCAACCTGATGCATGTCATGGAACAGGCTGCATTTCCAGGACCCCCTAAGAGACTTCTTGCCTTCCTTTGCAAGAAGCTGAACTGTCGGTTGAGCAGAGAAGGGAATTCAGCTCCCACTGCCATTTAATAATGTAGATGGGGGAAGAAAAGGGCCTGGAAGCTATGCTTGCTGCTCTTACTAAGTGGTGCAGCTTTTCAAAAGGCAGTGTTGCAGCTCTAAAGGAAAGGGTGAGAAAGGCCACGATTGACAGGAGCTTGGGCCATGAGGAGGACTGGAAATGCATTTTGTTTTGGACTCTAACTACTTTCTCACTCCCAGAACCTCCCTCCTCTGAAAAAGATCTGCCGCAACTGGAGAGCAGCACTGGCTTCGAAAAGATTCGCAGGGAACTCGGGCGTCGCGGTGGCCAGTCGCGCTTCCTCCCGAGCCAGCCGAGCTCCAGGAAAACCCTAACCCTTTGGACCCGCTCTTTGAAAACCACAGGCTGCAGGGGGAGGAAGCCAGCCGATCCATTCCTGCACTGTCTCGTCTCCCCAAAGAGATGAATGTTCTCCCCAGCTGCCAACGTCACCCCCCCTCCTCCAAAGGGCACAGCTGGCAGGAAAGCACAGGGAGAAAAGCTGGGCTGGGTTTAGGGAAGGAGACCGTCCTTGGCCAGGTTCCTCAGCGCTTCCGGCTCTTGCGGCTTCGCCCTATGCTCAAAAGGCCTCCCAAACACCTAGCAAAAATGTATTTTTTATTAACATGCAAAGTCAATCACTTGGGATTGGAATGGGAAAAACGCCTTTTGTTTACAACAATGGATAGCCCTCATGGTGGGAACCTGAGGACGGTGAGAACACACTGATTTCCCACACTCTTTCTGGCTGGTGGGTGTTAACTAGCAGAGACACGTCTGATCAGCTCGGTCAAATACCTGTCCCGGGAACGCCCAGAACGACGGGGAGTCCTCGGCTGGGGAAGATGGTGAGAACGCTCCTGACCTCACCAAGGCAGCCCGAGTTGCACTCCAGGGTGGGGGGGGAGCAAGAGCTGCTGCTTCTGCCAAGAGTCTCCCCCCAGGAGTCGGTCAGGGGGGCTGCCTGAGTGTGGCGTTTCCTTACCCCCAAGGGAGAATCGGATGTCCTCAAGGAGGCCACACGCAGGGGAGTGGGGGGCCTCCCTCTCCTCCCAGCTCTTCGCAGAGAGGCCCTCTGTTCCCCCCCATAACACCGTCCCACTGTCCCCAGCAACTGGGAGAGCTCTGGAGGAGAGTTGGGAATTGGGGCCACCAGAACTGGCAGCAAAGCAGGAGTGGAGAAGATCAAAGAAGGCCAGGCTTCAAAGAGAGAGAGGGAAGAGAGGGAAGGGGTTCCAGGCAGGCCGGCATCCACCCTGCCGAGAGTGTCAGCCTCCCTCAGGAAGAAGGTGCTCCCTGGTGGCCCTCCTGCTGATCTGGAGCCAGCAGCAGCCCAGGGCCAGTGTCAAAGCTGAGAAAGCCCCAGAGCCAGCTCCACCCTGGCAGCTCTTTTTGCAAGAAACTGTTCTCAGGCAGCTGCTGCAGCGATGGGGCGAGCAAGAGAGAACACCCAGCCCTGCTCACCTGAAGCCAGGGGCCGGATCCATTCCTTGCTGTTAAGGTCGAGTCGCCAGAGGTCGTTAAAAGCTGCGTTGCAACTGCTCTGGGTGCAGCCCCCAAAGACATACATGGACTGATTGGCGTCATAGTAACAAGCACCTAGAAAGCACCAGACCAGAATCAGGCCAACTTTAAAGCTGTTCCTGCCGAAACCACAATTTCTCCCTCCTCCAGTTCAAGACCTCAGGGAAAGGCCCAAAAGCACGTGTTACTACAATGGTTCTTTTCCGTTTCCCTTGCTCCCCAGATTGAGTATTATTTAACGGCCTTTTGCCCTGAACACCGTCCTGCAAGAGCAGCATGGCTGTTTGAACTCCTATGAAACTGAGGAAACTTGATCTAGATGTGTCTTAGGTTCTCTGACTTGAGACTTTATGGTTGCCCCAGCTGATGTTCCATGGTGACACTCTCCTTTGAAAAAGATGCTATTTTATTTACGTAGCTATCCAATCTCAGCATTTCACTTATCATATCTCATCTGAGACTCTCTCATAAATCAGAAAAGCATAAACACTTAAAAATGAAAACCTATCTTTCTTCCAGGACTGACGTTTACTCCTTTCCCCTAGGATCAGTGTTTAAAGGGTGAGAGGTGTTCTCTGCAGAACCTTCCGCTTTCCAGCAACGTTGGGGGCTCACCTCTCTCAGCTCCTGCAGCCTCAGCCGCATCCAGACTCTTTGCGAAAGGTAAGAGCGTGGGGTTCTCCACAGGATCCTAGGACCCCCCTCCCCACCCTGTGGTCCTCTGAGCAGGACACCTTCTGCCAGTTAGGTACCTACTGTGCGAAAAGCGCTGAGTGATGGGGGTACCAGGATAGGGGTATGTGCGGCTCTCCCACTGAATGTTCCCTTCTTGGACTGACTTGATAAAGCCGTGGTAACACTGGTGGGCTACGCCTGGAAGAGGAGGAAGAGCAGCGAGACATTGTGACAGGAAATGAGCGGGCTGAGGGGCTACCGGATCTGGTTTGATTCAGGACAGCAAATGTGCAAAGCCAGAGTCTCCTGGGGGAGCTTTTAGGGCCCCTTTTTGGAGGGGGAGGCAGCATAACAGAGGAAGCAACAGACACACTTTCTGTTCCCATGCCTGAAGACAAGCAGAAGCCAGCAGCTCCAGGGAAGTCCCCTCCAAATGTCAGAGAAAAGCCCAGAGTTGTGGAGTCTTGTTTCTTCTACAACAGGAGGAGGAGGGTAGAGGCCGCCCCCATCCAGTCTTTCCAACTCACTTGGCAAACTGGTCCCAAATGAGGGGTAAGTAGCGGGGGGGCGAGAGAAGAGGTTTATAATTGCGTTTAGCAATGTTTGGAACACGTGGGGCTTGAAATGCAGGCCAAGCCAGTTTCCTAGAAGGACTGAATTTTCCATTCTTTGGAACACGTTCTCCGTCTCGCACGCCCACTTAGGCACATCTCTGAATCCAAAACTTCTAGCTGCAGCATTCAAGTACATGCATAAGAGCCCACGTGTTGCTCTTATATGCTACAGATCTGGGGTTTAAAAAATCATTACTACACCCCCCCCCAGAGATCAAAGTGGCCCCCAAACAGCCACCCTGCCACACGGAATGGCTGAGAGAAAGGGACTGGCTTGGCCCCCCGGTGAACCACGCGGTTGATGGGGCTCAACCTGGGCCTCTCCGGTCCGAGTCCAATTCCTGAACCCCACAGGGATCTTTCAGCATTCTGTTAAAAGTGCAAAAAGCAACCGACCCATTGTACAGCAATACTAACAAGACAGCTTCTACTTTTAAGGAAAAAACAGGCAAAAACCAGAAACCAAGGGAAAGCAACCAGCCAGGCCGACAGAGGAACCCGGAATGGTGCACGTGAAGGCAGTGGCGGCACGGGCTGCCCACCTCTTGCTTTGCTCCTGGGAGCGCAGGAAAGGATGAGGGAAACGGAGAGGCGTCTCCCTCCAGCCCCCTGGCAGCGCCCCCTCTCTGCTTCGCCCGTTTCTGGCATTCTCAAGGGCTAGAAATACTTCCCGGAGCCTCTGGATTATACAACCCTAGCCCCATTTGCTGCCCAGTTCCCATCACCGCCTTCTCGCTGAACAGCCAAGCTTTCCTCGAACCTGTCTGGGCTAGAAGAACACGAAGGAAATCCTTGCTGTACCTTTGATGAGTCGATACCACTGCTTGCAAACAAGGGCGGCGGTTTTGTGCTCCTGATACGGCGAGAGGAAGGACAAGATATACTCAAGCACCTCTTCTGGCAACTCCTGCATGGACCGGTGAAGCCGAGCCCCTCCCTCCTCGGCAGGGGCAGCGCACGTTCCCTCGTCCTGATCCATGGCCCCTTCTGCCGCAGCGTCCTCGGGATCCACAGCCATGAAGTTGTCATCGTCACTCTCCGAGTTAGCCATGGCATTCCACTCCCCTGCTCCAAAAAGGGGAGGGAAAAGGCTATAGGTTACAGGCCGGTCCTCGTGCAGAGGGGCCCTTTCCTTAGCAGCCCCTCCCGAACGCTGACAATGAGTTTAGCAGCAGCTAGACAAGTCGGGAGCCCTAGGCTCGGAGGCAGCCATCGGCTCAATCCCCTGCCAGCATGGACCAGTCTGTTTTCCTGCGAGGGTGCGTGAGAAAGGAGGAAAGGCCCCTCCCGCCCTCCCTCCCTCCCTCCCCAGACGTCCCATTGCACCCGCCCCGTGCTGCAGGAGCGTCTGGGCAACTCGGGAGCCGCTGTGGTGGGGGCCGCTCTGTTGACGCATACCATCTTGCAGATCCTTAGGCTACAATTCTGAGAGCACAACAGGCATTCGTCTGCCTCTGGCTGAGACTGAGAATACAAGCAGCCTCTCAGTCAAACCTGCTCCACGACTGATCTTCCAGTTCTTTTGGCCTACGCGGTTGCCCCGAGTGGCCTCCCAACCTGTTCTTCCCTTGGGATGACCTTGCGGTAGTCATTCCTTGCTCACCCTGGTTAAGGTCAGCCATGCAGTCAGCTCAGGGCTCTCCCACAAACTCCAAGGAGGACACAGGCCTCACCTGGATGGATGGGGAGAGGGAGCTGTCCTGCATCTGCAGAGAGGAGCCGGAACACCTCTATTCCCCACTGCTCTGGAGTAATCGGGGAAAGACTTTGTCTTGTGGAGCGAACCTCTGGTTTAAATCCAGGGTTTAAAGACAAGAACCGTGGTCCGGATCTCAAGCCTGTGAGAAACAGCTGGATTCGCAGGTGAAGCCCTGCTTACCGTCTGCCCCCAAGCGGACACGCACACTGAAAGGTCATCTCTGGACCCTCCGGGCTTCCCTTGGACCACAAGAAACAAGCCCCTCCAAAGGCTTAGTGTGGCATACCACCTGGGGGCGGCAAGGTAGAGCTCTCCAAAGCTCCTCTAGAAGTCGAGGGCCAAAAGGGAAGAAGCTTCCAACTTTCTGAGCCTCCTAATCCGACCCCCCCGCCGCCGCCACCCCGGTTGGGAACAACGAGCAATCCCACTCCTGCGGCCGAGAGAGCCGCCTTCTTGGCAGACGAGCTGTTTGGAGGTGTTTCTTGCCTGCTGCAGCTGTTGACTAATTACACCCTCTGAGATGTAACACTTTCCCCGGGAAGGAATCAAAAGGGCAGCAGAACCACTCACCCCCCCGAAAGGATCAGGGAAGACGTCCGCCCCCTGTTCTCCTGAGAATCTCCCAGGCTGTGCAAAACACACCCAGTGAATCACTGCTTTGCACGAGGCCGCCGGCTCGTTCCCCTAGCCCTAAGGAACTTGGAATGCTGCTCCCGCTTCATCCGCGCGCTTCCTTTCCTGAGCTGGGAACAGTCGGCTCGCTCACGAGCCCCTTCTATGGTTCCTGGGACAGCCTGGACGGGCGAGCGGAAGAGGGAGCGCACGTGCGGGGAACCCATCAGGTTTTCCCTGAGCTGCTTGGGGAACCCTGTCCTACAAAGCGGGTGGGGGGGCTATCTCATGCAGAAGCCCTGCTGTTTCCGGGGCTTTGAAGCCTTTTAGCTTCTGAATGTTGGATCCTGCACTTGACTTCCTTCTGAACGGGCCTGCAAATAGGCTGCCGTGGCTCCCGGCACTTAACGGGGGGGACCCTTCTCGCGCACTCCGTGCTGCGGCAAGTGTCATTTCCGTATAGAGCTCATCCCTCCGTCTGCAGGAAATCGGGGATGTAAATGCAAATCGTTTAAGCTTAATAGGAAGGGGGTGCCTGTATTAAGTTTGGTACAAAACTACGCAAGTGTTAAAAAGCAGAGCCAGTTGTCCAGCAACCTCGAAAAGGAGCCAGAAGAGGCTGCCCCGCCTTAACTCTGCCTGTGGCAGGACCCCTTCCTTTTTGAGCCCCAGGGCAGAAAAGACCTGGCATCGGACCCAAAGGCACTCGCTTTTCTCAGAGGGAGAGAGGGAGAGAAAATGAGCGCCCTTCGTTGCCAGGTTGTTCCGACGTTTCTGATCGTTTAATGGGTGGGTGATAAAGCTGAAGTTCTGAAAACTTCCCATTCCCAGATGAACCAATGACCGGCTTACTGCACCCTGCTCACCCCTTTCTGCAGAAGGACCCACGAGAGGGAGGCCTGCCTCTCGGGCCTTCCCTTCCCCTGCCCTGCTCACAAACTGCGGAAGGCTCAGATCTGCCGGAATTCCCGAGGGCAGCGGGTTGGGGAACGCTGCCGCTTCCCTTTCAAGTAAGAGCAACTGAAAACGTGCTCGCACAACGTGCCGCTGAACTCCCCCAGAAAATGAAGTACTAAAGAGCAAACTGGGTTGATCCAACAAATTCCACTGCCTTCACCGGTGCCACCAGTTTCTGCACACAGACCAGGTGCCCCTCCCTCCCTCCCAGCCAAAGCGTTTGCCACATAAGCCGCAGGGCAGCAGACCATCTGAGCCGAGCCCGGCAGCATCCAGGCTGCTTCGTGGGCCCGCCCGGCTGGAGCCGAATCCTCGGCGGCCGCCTGGCAAGGCTGGCCGACTTTGGTAGGCAGCAGCAGCGGGCTTCGGAAGAGGGAAGGGGGAGGGGAGAAACTGGAGCCGGAAAGACCTCCAGCGGGCAAGAGAGACCAAATGGCTCGCCCACTCCCATACCCGGCGAATTCCCCCCGCTGCAGAGACCCCCGCTCCGGATCGGTGCCCCTATGCGGCCCCAAGGGTGCGCACTTAGGGCAGCTGGCCGTGGCACGCTCTCGTGCCTCGGAGGGGAGGCGGCCAGCTGTCTTGCCCCGTCCTCTCCGGAGCCCCCGGGGTCGCCCCGCGGCAGAGGGCCGCGCCAGTCCCAGCCGGAGCCA